ACCAATCACGTATGCAGCAAAAAATATACTCTAAATCTGTAATACATCGTTCATATGAACTATGGATAGTATAAAAACAAATATCATCAGCGTACTGAATAACTTTTATATTGTCATCCATCAAACTATGCAGCTCTGCTGTGTATACATTAAATAAAAGTGGACTCAATATTGATCCTTGCGGCAAACCGTTATATACTGTTCTTGGCCCGTGGAGTACATTTCTGTGGTCACGAATATAAATTTTTCTGTTTAGAAACAAATTTATTAAGTTATTTGATACCTGTTTGCTGATACCCATTCTACACAATTTTGTTTTTAAAATACTCAAATCAACCACATCATATGCACCTTTTAGGTCCACAAATAGGCATAACATGTATTTGTTATCAGATAAGCATATTTGTGCATCTGTAACCATATGGGTCAATGCATCTATAGTACTACGGCCTCTCCGAAATCCATACTGAGTAGTGGGTAGGAGAGAATTGCTTTCAATAAAATATTCTAGGCGAAACTTAATCATGCGTTCAAAAGTCTTGGTCAGACAAGACATTAACGATATAGGTCGATATGATGAGGGTAATTTTGGATCTTTAAATGGTTTTTTTATTAAACATATAACAATATTTTTTAAATCCTCAGCATATTCTTGTTTTACCCACCAGTTGTTAAAAATTTTTAAAATTATTTGTTTAGCTGACACTGGAAGATTGTGTAAAATTTTATATGTGAAACCATCCAAACCGGGAGCTGTGCTTCTGGTTTGGTTTAACGCCAAAATTAACTCTGAATATTCAAAATTTTTAGACATAGTATCTGAAGTAGAATAAAAATGAAAATTTTTTTGATTGTCTATATCGACATTAGAGACCGAAGGCGGGGCCAGCTGATTCAGAACATCCTCAATTAAATCTTCGTGCAATGGAGGTTTATTTTGTTTATGATATTTGTTTCTTATAGCTTTTACACAATTCCAAATGTTTGAAAGAGGTGTAGATCTATTGAGTTGATTAACAAAGGTTATCCAACTATTTTTTTGTTTTAACTTGAAAATGAGTTTAGCCTTTGCTGCAATATTTTGATAATTCAGATAATTTGTAATATTTCCTTGTCTTCTGAACAATTTAAGTGCGTGGGAGCGACTTTCAGCTATATCAGAACATTCTTCGTCCCACCAATAGGGCCTTGGGACAGAAGGAATGAAAGGTTTTTTAACTGGCATGGATGCAGATGCTGCTGAAGATATGACTTCAAATAATTTTTTTGTTATTCGACAGTTATCTGAATCATTTAGAGCTAAATTTGTACTGATTTCATTTTCAATAAATGCTTGAAAGGCTGACCAATCGGCACGACCGTCATTCCACTTAGTTGCCGGATTGATTTCGAAAGATATGGGAGCAATTTGGAGCTGAATTTGAATAGGGTAGTGATCAGAACCTAAAGTGTCTTGATATACTGACCAATTTACCAAATCTGCCAAGAAAGGGGAGATAAGAGTTAAATCAACTGCAGAGTGATTACCATTGGGATTAACTCTAGTGGGCGATCCATCATTTAAAGTAATTAGTTCCAAAAAATCTAAAGCTTCTGTTAAATCCTTTCCCCCGCGATCTTCCGGAATAGGGCCCCACCTGTGATGGTGTACATTAAAATCGCCGCAAAAAATTGTACGAGAGATATCAAACTGTACCAATAAATTTAACCAATCTTTTTTTGTGGCTGCTATGTCTGTAGGTTTGTATACTGAAACTAAAGAAATATTTATATCTGGAATAAATACTGCACATACTTCAATGCCCCTTGAAAAATTTTGGGTTATTACACTTTCTTGATAGTTAATTGTTTGTAAGATAAATATACCAACTCCGCCATATCCGTCATCACGACATCTTTTAATGAAATTATATCCCTTTATATTAAAATTACTATTAGACTTAAGCCAAGTTTCAGAAAGTATGATAATATCAACATGGTTTTTATTAAGGTAATTTAACAAATTATTTTTATTAGATGTTATTGACCTACTATTCCACTGCAAAATTACTAATTGGTTTTTAATTGTTTGTTTATTAGCCATTTTTAAAGTTTAATCAGTAAAAGAGTTTTTCACTTGAATCTGATTCACTATATGTTTCCATAGCATCATTTGGATCACTTGGAGCAAAGGCACTTTCTACAAAGTCCCTGATATTAGATTCCATGAGAGTATTTGGTGCTAATTGAAAATTTTTTTGAAATTTATTTATGAAGGAGGTAATTAACATTATAGTTTTCTCTTTATAGTCCATAAATTCTTCTCTGTAAGGGTTAGGTATAATGGGTTTAGGTTTTTGACTAGGTTTATAAGTTTTTTTTACAGGCATCGTATCTGGTGTAGGAGAGGTTGGGTGTGTTCGTTTAATTGTTTTATTAGAATTGGCTTTAGAAGCTGGTTTTGGTTTTTTAAAAGTAATATTAGACGATGGACTGTCGCCAGAAGTATTTGGAAAAGCTGGAAAATTGTTATCGTTGTTTAAAATAGAGAAACGGTTATTCGTAGCCACCTTCGCATATGATGGATTATTATATATATTTTCGGCTTCTTTAAAAGAAATGTTTTCAACTGACATAATTTGTTTAATCCCCTTTTGCTTTGCATATACGGGACAAATACGTGAAATTGAGGGGTGTTCGTTATTATTACAATAAATACACAAATTATTTTCTTTACAATCCTCTTTTGTATGACTTGTATCTGTACACTTTTGGCATCTCTCATTTTTTGATTTACATTGTCTAGCTGAGTGGCCATATCTCAGACATTTGAAACACTGTACAACGGGTTGTACGTACGGTTCAACATGAAAATTGCATAAATTTATTTGTATACATTTTGGAATTTCATTTCCTAAAAATTCTACTATTATCATTTGTCTGTTTACCAAAACTACGTTTCCATCAGAGTCTGTAATTTTCCTTTTCATACGATTGACACATGATACCTGTTTGTTTGATTTGATAGCAGTTAATAAATATTCTTCAGAAAAGAAAGTATCTACCATCCTGACAACTCCTTTTTTGTGTGTATAAAATTTAGGTATAAATGCTATTAACTCATTTTTTAATATAACTTCGTGGTTTACTAAGCTATTGGCTATTTCTAATGTATTAAAAATAACCTTTACCCTATTAACACCTACCGGTTTAATATCTATTACGTCATTTTTTAAAGTTTCATCTTTAAGTAGAAAGTGCCCTATTTTAATTGGAAAAAGTCTCCCTAAATTTTTATTTTTGTGTTCAACAAACACATAAAATGGACCAATATCTCCTGGTCTATAACTGTTATTCATATCAATTAGTGGAACATACCTGTTGTTTTCACTATCACTTTTATCAAACGTGTTTTTTTCATCGGGCGGCTTATCACCGCCCGTTTTTTCTGACATCACTTACGCTTTAAAAAACTCTAATATGCTCTTCGTAAATATCAATACCAAAACTAACAACTAATTATACTTATATTTTAAAAGAATCAATCACCAGTAAATTCACAAAAACTCGAATACGTCCACACACCTTGACTAACGAATTCGAACTGCACCGGCATTTTACCGACATCGATCAGCGGTCGGCCTGTGTGCAATGTCCCGTTCTCATATATTGGAATTTGGACGGCCGGTAAAAAATCGACCCTCCACAATCGGTGTGTGCGCAATTAACGTCTGCTACCAGTAAACTATCGGCCGATTTTATGCTGGCCGTCCAAAAACGGTGTCTGTGCAATTACACTTAGTTTTACTAGTCGATCAATAGGTTTTTATTTTAATCGAATGCTCCTCTTTCATGTCTTTTGACTACCAGCTAGCGGGGTGAGGAGCTCGCATAGTGAGAGTTAAAACATGGTTGAAACTGAATCTGCAGGTTACAGAGGAAAACCGTTTACCTCCTGATAGCCTTTAGAACAATGTTTGACCAGGAAACTAAGTTACTATGTTTTTATAAAATTGTCCTTGTTAACTGTTTGTATAGATACATTATTTTCCATTCTATAAGTAGTATGGGCTTTATGTGGGAAGCAATTTCAGTGTGAGGACATTTTATACCTCAAATACTCTCTTCTTCTAATTCCCTTTTTAGCTTGTTGGCCAGTTTCTTCATTTCCTTTTATGCTACCATGATCTTTAATCCAATATAGAGCTAATATTGATCTGTTTACTTTGCAGTTCTTGAAATTTAGTAAGTATTTTGTTTAAATTACAATTAATATTGACCTGATCAATATTTTTTAGTTACGTAACTTTCATATTACTTATATATAGGTAGGAGAGTTTCTAATAGACATGTAATTTTGTAGTATATATCGTAATTTTTTATTTAATATAATTTTTTTAAGGTTATATAATATACAATAATATAAATACAGACGTTTCGATCTATTCCCTCTGTGAAGATACTTTTTTAAATATTCCGTAAATGCGTATTGCCTAATTCTTCAGTCTGTTCTTGAATAATCTTGAAGAAAAACACAGTGAATGTTTTAAATATTTATCCTATCAACTCGGTCTATATCTGAAGAGTATATTTCATCTATTACGACGACGACGTAAACAGAGCGGCATAAAAAGTGGCTCAGTATGATGTAGTAACAGGGGAAAGAACTGAAGGAGGCCTATGTCCAACAGTGGACGCCATTGATAGATTAATAATGATGATTATTTCTTTAATATTTTTCTTATTTCTTTATTTTTCTGAATCAATACGTTATGTACTAAAAAATATGAGTCTGTAATAGGTTTTTGACTAGATATCATACGATATTACATAGAGAAAAAAATATTTTTTGTATAAACGATAAGAATCTTTAAGAAGACGAAAAAGGTAAGAATTCTTAAAATTTCATAATATAGCACAAACAGAGAAGGTTAGGTCAGTATTCATAGAGTCAACACAATTACAGATAAATTAATATTTTTTTTCATTACACTATTTATATTGGTCACTAAAATACTTACCAATGGCTAGACTATGATCCCACCAATTGTATACACATTGTTTAAACCTCAATCCAGCATTATCGACGATTTCTTCAGCGGTAGGAGTATCGGAAAACGTCCAAGTACCAAGATATATTAGCATTACTAACAGTATAGGCACCATCCATTGCAGCAATTGTTTATCAGTCAGTTTTACCTTATGAGCAGATTTTACTCGGTAAGTTAAAGAAACCCTTAAAATAAAATGAATCAAAATAAAACAAGTGATAGAGAACATTTTCAATAAAAAATATTTGTTGTTTGTTACCAATTTTTATTCTTGAAATTAACCCACTATAGAAATTTTTTAAAGGCTTTTGTGACCGATCGAGAGTTTCTTGTGGTGTTGTCTAAATGATCTACAAGAACTGGATCATATGTCTGGCGTAGATCCACGAACATAAGATGACTTTCCATATTTGTATTTGACAGTTTTTCCATTGATTATTTTGAGCAAAAATTTTGTCTGTATAAGACCTTCCAACTCTAAAGCCTGACTGCTTTTCTTCTTTATTTCAATATTCAAATTAAATTAAACCCACAAAACTCTTCCACATAACCGACTAAGAGTGCTTATTGATACGCCTCCATAGTTGGAGCAGTTTAATATTTCATCTTTTTTCTGGATTAAAGTTATGTGGGTCACCTTCCACTCCCTTAGCACCTAGTTACTATTTACGTAGTTACTAGATGTAGTGCAGTGATTAGTACACAGTTTATTTATGTCTTAGGGCTCAGGAGACTGAGAGCCAAGAAATCCTTAAGAAACCGTCAGAGAGTACGTCGAAAGCTCGGTGCAGTGATTGTAGCTCGCAAAAAGGGAAAAAATATTTCGTTACTTTATTTTTTTGTTTAATACATGTAATATCCCCATTAACCGTTTAAATTACAATATACATTATCACAGTTAGGATTCAAAACTTAAAATTTCGTAAAATATATTATAAAATAAATATTAAAAATTTTAAAAAGTTTAAAAAATGAGAATAAAAATCTTGCATACTAAAAAAACAAACAAAATATAACAAAAATAAAATTCAACCATCCCAATATACATATCAAGAGATCTTTTAACCTGAGTTAAAGTTTTATTGAAAATATCAAAATCGAGAACTTTTAATAGCTCCATGTATCTATCCAACGGGCTGCGAATACCATAGGTTGTTCTGTGGAAAGTAATATTGAGAACATTGTGCTAACGTAGAGCTTGATGGGGAACATTAAAGTTAATCTGGCTTAACAGGTTTGGACAATAAATAAATCCATTTATGATCTTATATATATATATATATATATATATATATATATATATATATATATATTATATATATATATATATATATATATATATATATATATATATATTATTAACAACAATAGTTCCTCCTACTACCTCTTTCTGTTCGTGATATGTGACTGAATTCAAACCTGCGAAGACGACTGTTTTTTGTCAAACATGTCGTCTTATTTTTTACTTTTTAAACTTTGTAACATGTTCTTTAATTTTTAAGTATTTTAAAGTTTTTAAAATTTTTAATGCCTTCAATAATTCAGATCACATTATGTTATTTAACGTTGTGTTTTATATGCTATGAATCTTACTTTCTGGTAAGTTTTTATAACTTTTATATTACATCAGCCTAATGTTATAACACAGTAATTTTCATTGTAGACCTTGATAAAGGTGGCAAATAACCACCGAAAGCTCGGATTTCAGAATAAATAGTACGCCTTAGCAAAGCTCTATTTTTTATTGACTACCACACCCAAAAAGAAAAAAAGTATTTACATATATATATATATATATATATATATATATATATATATATATATATATATATATATATATATAGCTCCTGACATATGAGTGAAGGTAAAGATAATTGCTGTTTGATACAGGAATAAGCATGATGTTCAATAGTAGTGTGGAAATAGGAAAGCACAATATCTCAAAAATTTTTACTGAGCCCTTTTACTCCGTGGCGTTACAACCCTTCGTGGGTTTTAGCCGACTCGACAACATGCCTCCACTGTTTTCTATCTTGAGCAACCTCCATCCAATTCTCCACGCCCATAGTGCTTAGGTCTCCTGCTATATTATCTCGCCACCGAAGACGAGGGCGTCCGCGTGGTCTCCTTCCAGTTGGGACTTCCTCCCACACCAGTCTTACTGTTCGTTCATCAGAATGTCTTCTGAGGTGTCCTGCCCATTGGAGTCTTCTGGACTTTATTTCTTTTATGATGTTGGTGTCTGGGTAAAGTTCTTCAAGCTCTTTATTAGTTCTTATACTATATTGTCCTGATGCTTCATCAAGCACCGGACCAAAGATCTTCCTTAGGATTTTTCTTTCCCAAACACGTAGTCTCTCTTCATTTGCCTTTGTCATCGTCCACGTTTCGCTTCCATACATCACAACGGGTCGTATGATTGTTTTATAGACCTGTATCTTCGTACCTCGTGTTAGTTGTTTTGATTTTATAAGGTTTTGGAGGGCAAAAATACATCTGTTGCCGGCCTGAATCCTGTTGTTTATTTCTTGTGATCCGTTATTGTCTTCAGTTATTGTTGTTCCAAGATACTTGAATTCTCTAACGCGCTCAAAGTTAAAGTCATCGATGGTAATGTTCTGACCGATTCTGTCTCTGCTTTGGTTATTGCGGCTCATATACATATATTTCGTCTTATTTTCGTTGATTTGGAGCCCCATCTTCCCTGCTTCCTTCTCAAACCTTACGAAAGTCTCCTTCATCTTTAATCGCGTGTTTCCTATTAGATCTATATCGTCTGCAAATGCCAGTAGTAAGTTTGGTCCTTCTCGATGAAATACTGTATTCGGTTTTTCGATTCTTGCACTTCTGATTATGTGCTCCAGAGCTAAGTTGAAGAGTTGTGGTGAAAGTGCATCTCCCTGTTTTAGTCCATTGTTTATTTCAAATGTCTCCGAGTATTGTTGTCCAACTCTCACCTTACATCGTAACCGTTCCATACACATTCGTATCAACCGGACTAGTTTTTTTGGAAAGCCAAGTTCCTGCATCGCTGTCCACAGTCTGTCCCTACATCTCAACTCCCAACTCCGCCGTTGCCTGGTCCCAAGTTCAGGATGAGAAAGGAGGAGGGTTAAGCAAGGGACTAACTATTCCTTCTTGTAAAAAAAACATAGTTATGAAAACGAAGCACATGCCTCGGATAAGGACGGATCTTTTAAGACGACAAAAGCGACTGAGCCCTTTCTATGGTATCAATATTGTTCCGAAAATAAGGTAACTGAACAGTATTCCAAAATGGTTCTAACCAAGCAACAATACACTAATCTTGTTGAATCAATGGAGAAATACTTGCAACTCCTAGGAACGAAACCAAGAAGTTTAGATGCCTTTATTGAAATAGAGTTTATGTGCTCACAGAAAGTAAGGTTCTCATCGAAAATAATACCGAAATCCCGAATAGAAGAAACATAAATCAGTGGCTGATTATTAATAGTGTAGCTTGTTCCAATTCTATTAACTTTACGAGAAAATCTTATAAAACAACATTTTTTTACATTTAAGTGAAGTTTGTTCTGATTGCATTAATTTTTGTAGTCGGTCTAACTCATCTTGTAGCAAGGCTTTTAAGCTATCTATAACTTTCCAAAATTTTAAGTCATCTGCCAACATTAGACATTAGCTATTTAGGAAACAGGACGTGATGTCGTTAACGAAGATATTAAAAATAAGTGGAGAAGTGTGGGCTCCTTGAGAAATTCCAGATGTTACTGAGATACTGTTAGACAGATGAAAACCTATCTTGACTCTTTGCCCAAAAGTATTTGATGATCTGCACGATCAAATACTTTGGAAAAATCTGTGTATATTGCATCTACCTAGTTACAGTCTTCCATATAAGATAATATATCAGATTGATAGCAAACCAAGTTTATTGCAGTGGATTTTTTGCTATAAAAACCATGTGGTGATTGAGATATTAAGCCTTTACATAACCAAGAAACTTGCTTTGCTATAGAACAGTCGAACAGCTAAGGGATTGCAAATTGTATACAAATGATACGATAATTTTTAATTCTATATATCTATCTGTATATCTATCTATACAGCCCTAAACATTCATCCTTGGATATAGGTCTCCTCCTCCTTCTTCCATGCCTCTCTATCTTGGGCAATTTGCATCCATTTTGACCCGGCGTGTTTCTTCAGGTCATCTGACCATCGCATTTGTGGCCTTCCCCTTTTTCGTTTGTGATTCCATGGTCTCCAATGTATAATTGTCTTAGTCCATCTTTCATCTTTCTGTATTAGGGTGTGTCCGGCAAACTTCCATTTAAGCTTTGCTACTTGGGTTGAGACATCTGTCACTTTTGTTTTATTACGGATCCATTCGTTTCTTTTTCTGTCTGATAGTTTAATGTTCAGCATTTGTCTTTCCATGGATCTTTCTATCTTTGCTATTTTTTCCACATTTTCCTTTGTAAACGTCCATGTTTGAGAGCCATATGTGAGGACAGGGAGTATACATTGATTGAAGACTCTCGTTTTTAGGTATTGGGGGTATTTTGAATTCTTTAGAATATAAGACAGTTTTCCGAATGATGCCCAGGCCAATCTTATTCTTCTCTTTATTTCTGCGGTCTGATTGTCTTTATTTAATTTAGTGGTTTGGCCTATATATATATATATATATATATATATATATATATATATATATATATATATATATATATACTCTTTTACTTGTTCTATTCTTGTTTGTGCCACTGTAATTATTAGTTCTTCTGGTTGATTAGTCATGGTTTTTGTTTTAGTGTAATTCATCTAGTCCAATTTTTGTCGATTCTCTATCTAGTTCTTCCATTGTTCTTTGTAATTCTTCATTTTTTTCTGTTAATAATACAATATCATCAGCATATCGTAAATGATTCAAATTTTGCCCGTTTATGTTAATTCCCAAGCCATCCCAGTGTAGTCGTTTGAAAACATCTTCTAGCGCTTGGTTGAATAGCTTGAGCGAGATGGTATCTCCTTGTCTTACTTCTCGGTTTATTTTAATAGGCTCCGTTTGTTTCATTAGCTTAATAGTTGTTGTTGCCTTGTTGTATATATTTGTAATTAAGTCGGTATATCGGTAGTCTATTCTGCTGTTTTGTAGGGAATTCTGTACTGCACAGTGTTCCACACTATCAAATGCCTTCGCGAAGTCAATAAATGCCATGTGCCATGTGCCATGGATATGATATTCGTTAGTTTTTTCGTTTAAAATCTTCATCGTTAAAAGGTGGTCACTTGTACTGAAGCTCTTTCTAAATTCAGCTTGTTCTCTTGCCTGGTATCCATCTAATTTAGTTGTTAATCTATTTGTTAATATTTTGGTTAATAGTTTGTACATCACATTTAGTAGAGTTATGGGTCTGTAATTCTTTAGATCCATGTTATCTCCTTTCTTAAATAGTAACAGTGTTATTGCTTCGTTCCAACCGTTGGGTATTTAAATACTATTTAACTGGGAATAAGCCACAACTAAAGATAAAAATACGTTTATTGACGTTTCAATTTCCACTTCGGAAATCGTTCTCAAATACAAACAGTGTTTGTATTTTGAGAACGATTTCCGAAGTGGAAATTGAAACGTCAATAAACGTATTTTTATCTTTAATTGTGGCTTATTCCCAGTTAAACAGTAATTAATTTACAATGCCACAAGAAAATAGCTTCAGAACAATATTAAGAAACCGTTGGGTATTTGTTTTGTCATTAGTATTTTATTCATAAGTATTTACAAAACTTCTCTAGTTGTTTTCTCACCATGTTTTAGAATTTCTACTGTCTTTTCCTGGCGATTTATTATTCTTCATCTCTTTGAATGCTCTTCTTATCTCGTTCTTACTAATTTCTGGTTATAAGTCGATGGTAATCTTAGAAGATCAAATATTTGTACTAAATTTGCTATTTAATGAATGAGTAGGTATGTAAAGGTTGTTGTTATTTGGTGAATACACGGTTTGGAAGAAGGTCACAAATAAATTAGCTATATCTTGACCATTTGTTGCAGATTGGACTTGATAAAATAAGGAATTAGGTAGGTTATGAATAGATCGCTTATCATTGATGTACTTCCAAAATGATTTTGGATCATTTCTTAGGCCAGTATCTATACCTTTAATATAGTTGCTGAAGCAAATTTCAGACAGGTGTTTACATTCAGCTTTTAGGTAGGAAAATCGAATATAGTCATCATCAGAACGATTATTAGCATGAATATGGTGAGCATATTTTTTCTCCAGAATCAGTCTTCTAAGATCAGCAGAGAACCACTTGGGGAAAGTTGAAGTTCTATATTTCTTCAATGGCAGAAAGTATGCAATTCCTATAAAGAGAATTTCATAGAATAATTTTGTAGCAACATCAATATCATTACCTTTACATACCTGCCACTATATGGAAGCAAGGTTGTTAAGCGCAATATAATCGCAATTCCGTTAATTATAAAACAACTCATCATAAACCAACTTATTTCTATTGGTTTCTATCACACTTTCCCTAACATTAGAAAAAACTAAATCCAAAAAGGATAATAAAAATTTATTAAAATATGTGTATGAGATGGGAGGCAACCATATATACAAATTTCTGACTATTGGTCGTCTTCAGTACGCTGCAGCCAAGTTAGAAGAGTAGCATGTTAACTTGGAAAAAGACAACTACAGTACCAATGCGCACTCCTCTTTTAACTTGGCTACACCGTATTCTTCTTCAAGTGCCGTCTTCGTTCCGAAGTTTGGCTATCATCAAAGCTATGCGTATTTTTGATGCTGCAGATCTAAACAGTTGGTAATTGGTGCAATTGTACCATTCTCTCAAGTTTTTCAATCATGAATGTCTTCTTCTTCCTATAGATCTCTTTCCCATTATCTTTCCCTGTATAATCAATTGCAGCAACTGGTATTTATCTCCCCTCATAACATATCATAAATATTGTAGTTTGCGCTTTTTAACAGTAAGTATCAGCTCTTTCTCTTTCCGCATTCTCCGCAAAACCTCCACATTTGTTACTTTCTCTGTCCAGGGTATTCTTAATATTCTACGATACATCCACAACTCAAATGCTTCTATCTTTTTAGTATCGATCTTTTTCAATGTCCATATTTCCATCCCGTAGAGGAGAACTGACATAACGTAACATCTCAAAAGGCGAATTTTAAGTTTTAGACTTAGATCTCTTCCACAGAACACCTTTTTCAATTTAGTAAATGTGGCTCTAGCTTTCTCTATTCTGGTTCTGATTTCTTCAGAGCAATCATTATTTTCGTTGATAACAGTTCCCAGGTAATTATATCTTCTTACACGTTCGATTCTTTGATCATGCACGGTTATGTCAGGGAAGTTTTGTGGTGATTTAGATATTAGCATTATTTTTGTTTTGCTTATGTTAAGTGATAATCCGTGTTCTTCACTGCATTCTACTATTTTGTTAATTAGTATTTGAAGATCTTCCCAAGTTTCTGCGATTAGTACCGTGTCATCGGCATATCTCAAGTTGTTTATTCGGATGCCATTTATCTTAATACCTATATTTTGATCCGAAAGTGCTGTGTTTATAATGTCTTCGGAGTATAGATTGAATAAGGTCGGTGAGAGTATACAACCCTGTCTTGTCTCCGGAGGCGTGTCAGGGAGAAGCTGACCGCCGTGCCGGACGCATTTAGAAATTCGGAGAAATACTTGGAAATTCCAAGTGTGGGCAAATCCGAATTTCTAATTGACTCGATGTAGGGAAATTCCACTTTTACTAAGTAACACAAAGGATTTGTTTTATATAAAAGCAGACGGAATTTCTCTCATCGGTCAGTCGAGCTTGCCTCTTCTTCTGTAGACCTAGTCGGTGCTATTATTGTTCCGACTAAGCTATTGTTTTATTTCTTATTTCCTGATAACCATTTATATTTTATTATTGTATATTCAGACCTTTTCAGGTTAGAATATTACTTTGACTTATATTTGTTCATATACTGATTATTTGATATTTTATTTGATTATTTTGATTGTTTATTTTTCTTGTATTTTGTATCTAAGTTGTTCTTCCGTAAGTTAAGAACACTTAGAAATATTTACCTTACCTTTTTCTATTTTATAAATTTGATTTTTGTACTTTGTGTCTAAGTAGTTCTTTCCGGTAAGTCAAAGAACTCTTAGAAATATTTCTCTGATATTTGACTTGTTAATTTTATTGTGTGCCTAAGTCATTCTTTTCCGGTAAGTCAAAAGAACACTTAGAAATATTTTCATAATCATTATTGCATTATTATTTCCGATATTTATCTAAGATATTTTCTTAATATATTTGTCTCTTTTATTTTACCATTTCATGCTGAGTTGTTTCTTCCGTAAGTCAAGAAACACTTAGCAATATTTCCATATCTTTTCTGTATTTGATTTTCTTATTTTCTATTATAAGATGTTTCTTCCGTAAGTCAAGAAACACTTACAAATATATATATACAGTATTCTTATTTTACTATATTTGGTTTTCTTGTTTGTTTCCTTTTCTAAGAAATACTTAGAAATATTTCCATACATTGTTTCATATTTACATATTTCATTTATCTATATTTCTGTCTTAAGTTGTTTCTTCCGTAAGTCAAGAAACACTTAAGAATATTTCTGCACTTTTCTGTTCTTTTATTCTTGTGTATTTTACTTTTCATTCTAAGTTGTCTCTTTCGTAAGTCAAGAAACAATTAGGAACATTTTCTGTGCATTGTAATTTTATATACCATTTTATTTCCTTGTTTACTAAGTTATTTCTTTCGTAAGTCAAAGAATACTTAGATTATTTTACCTGTTCTGTTTTCTATTTTGATCTGCTATTTTGTAACTGTTCCTTGGAACTGTTACCTATATCAGATACTTGTCACGGTAACTGTTTTATACCAGTAGCAGTATTAACACGTTTTACCAGCGACAAGCAAAGATGGTCAACACCCGATCAAATTCCGGGGACAGGAAGAAGTCCGAAGAGCCGGCGATGGGTCCCACAGGCCCAAATGCCCCCTCTCGGCAACAGTCTTACGCCTTTCTTGATCTCGATTTCCTCCGTTGTCTCTTGCTCTATTCGGATATTTGCTTTCTGGTTATAGTAAATCTTAGAGATAATTCTAATGTCCCTTTTATCCAAGTTTTTTTCTACTAGCAGTTTCATTAAGTGATCGTGACGAACTTTATCAAACGCTTTGTTGTAATCAATAAAGCAAACACCGTATTGAAGACGACTAATAGCCAGAAATTCGTAAATATGGTGGCCTTCCATCTTATATCCATAATTTTATTATATTTTTTTTCTTTGTTACGAGCTATTACCTACTAACTTTATTTTGCTATTATATATATAAAGCTTTTCTTGTTATGTATATATATTCATATAGTCCTTTGACTTCTAACTCTGTATAAAAATAAAAGCTTACCTCCAAGTTTTCATTAATAACGCCGTATAAGTGACGCAAAATCCTAAATGTCGAGACCACTTTGTGGCGATGCAAGAATACTGATCCAGACTGGGAAAGATTGCAGCCATCTAAAACAAAATAAAAGAACATAGAACAAAACTAGCGAGTAATTTGCGAGATTGAGCACTTACCTCTAAATACATAGTAGCACAGCCAAGTAAAGTAATACTGAGGAAGATGGGACTTGCCACTTTGAAAACTTTCAGTTTTCGGTGTTTGTACATATATAAAATTAGTATGATCGTGCAGGCAACACAAAAAATTGAGAATGTTAGTAGACTAATCCTAAAAAATTAACAACATCTTAATATATTTTGTTTAAATATTTTTAATTAGTAAAAAGGAATTAATTATTTTCTTCATACAGTGTGGACAAGAATTTATGAAATAAAATTGTTTGTGTCTTTATTTTAGAAAATTATAAAAACCACTTTGATCAGTTAATTGTTAAATTCACTGTTATATATGCGCTTAAAACAATAATATAAATTTACAGGGGAATTCACTATTTTTCTATCCACAATAATCATTTTTGCCTTTGATATATTTAACTCCAGTTCTCAAATCCATTAATCGCACTTTTTAGGATCTTCCCAGTACACATCCTTGTCCGATAACCTGTTCTGGGTGGATGCTTGGATCTTTTAGTATGCATGTATAACTCAGTTATAAGGGAAATAAGGTTTTTTGGCACGCTAACTTTTTTTAACATTAGCCATAAAAGATGTAACTTGACTCTGTCGAATGACTTCCTATAATCTATGATGCCGTTGTATAATCGGATATTGAATTCTCTGGACTTTTCGATGATTTGTCTTATGTTTAAAAGGTGTATCTCGTGTATCTTTACCTTTGACAAACATGGCCTGCTCGGCTGGTATTCCTCTTTAGAGGAAAGTTTTTTTCAGCCTCTCATTGATTATTTGAAGCATTATCTTAATAAATATTATTTAGACAAGCTCTAAGATTTGAATATAATTATATATGTTAACATAATTAGGTTTCGATCTTTTATCAAAATAAGTCAAAAATACTTTACCTGAACGGCCAATGATATGTAGCTAAACAAGGTGATGGGTCTATACAATAGTGACAACCAGGTGCACATTTTTTACATTGAAAAATTGTTTCCCATGAATCACTGCTGGTTTTTAAATACTCCGACCAAGCAACTGAAACCAAAAACAGATGTTAATTCCAAAATTATTAACTCCACACAACATGTTAACACAATATTATCAGCTGAAAAAAATTAAAATGGGTATACATGTTGATGTGTTTATTTTAATCCTGTATGACCCCTTGTAACTCTTAAGTTACATATTGAATAAGAGTTATAAAATACTTTCTAAACCTCATATTTCCGTAAACTTCCGTTGTTTCTATAAGGTTACAGACAGCTGTCTAGCATAGAACATTCCAATCATACACTATTATAGGTCATATTTTATGCATAGTGTTGCCAAAAAACTCTAGGAAAAATCGTCAGAATTCTATTTAAGAAATCGTGGGAAACTTGAGATTTTCCTAATTCAATAAAAGATTCTTATTAGGGGGTAAGCATGAGAAAAAACGAGATCTATCAAAAATACGTGTATATTTTTGCAACCAAAATAAGAAATATATTAGAAACACTTTTATACTTCTATACACGCGTTCGCGTTACAAACTTATATGGGAGTCAATCTGCACAATCATTAAATATGTAATGCTATAGGTCAGAGAGAGCAGAAAGAGGAAAATAATTAGTTATATAGGTATATGGTGCATCGTTTGCTGTATATAAACATTTGACCTGTAATAGGAGTATAGTAAATGAAGGATTGTATCAATATTTTTATGAAAATGTATTTTCTTATTTTCCTATATGTATAAAAGGAGTTGAATGCCAAAAAAAAATTTTTACACATACTCTTCAGTAAAATTCATTGTTTATTTTGTTATATTAATATAAAAATTACAATACAATACACTGCAACATAATTCAATATAAGAATACAATATAAATTAAAATGCAATATTCATAAGTATTTAAAACTGCCAATATACATAACTTACTTTACGAAAATAAAAATAAAAAACCAACAACTCAGATTATGTTGTAAATTTTCATTTTATTTTAAAATTTAGCATTTTTGCGTATATTACATATATTTAATAAGATTTCAAAAATAAAAAAGGAAATTCATGTTGGGATTCGAACTCACAAACACCAGAAACCACCAAGAAAACACCAGAAAATTAACCAAACACGTAAAGGATTTGCCAATTGGACATCATACTAACGGATTTCAAAATTGTGGTTGGATATATTTTAGTTTATAATATATATTTATATTTTAGATATTTTAGTTTATATACAAAGAGTATATTTATTGCAGTTAAATTTTCTTCGTCTATAAGTTTAATCAGCTCGAATGTTGGACTTCAGTTTTAAGTATTATTGGAGCTTCCTCGTTATCAATTTGTGTTGGTTCTGTTGTTGTGCACATGAAAAGATCTTCAATATATTTAGTCCAAACTTGTTTTATTTCAATTGGGTTTTTAATAGGTTTATTGTTTTTGTGAATTAATCGGTTAGGTGTATTTGTTCGTGATTTTCCAAATAATTCTTTTACTTTTTTATGTAAATTATGATAATCATGCTTTTTCTGCAATTCAATTCAATTTTTAAAATTAACAAATTCTGTCACATCTTTTATAAATAAAATAATTATTATACAGGGTGAGTCATAAGTATTGGGACATACACTAAGGACAGGTTATTTGGACCCAAATACGGCTATTGGGCCAAATATGCCTATTGGGCCAAATATGCCTTAATAAAATGTTGCTGAGAAAAAAGATACAGGGTGTTAAAGTTAATTTTTGTTTTTCGTTTTTTGCTAATAGTTTCCCTGTATATTTATAAGTTGCTATCAAACTTGGCACAGAGGCATAATCTTAGACAAGAAATAGTATTTTATTTACAATTCCACTATCAAATACCAAACTAATAAACAAAGTTGCAACAAACGTAAGGTTTCCGTTTTGACGATAAATCAAAACTAAACACACTTTCACTCAAAAGAACTCACAAAAACTTAAACTAAATGTTCTACATGATCTCCTCCGATTTCTATGCCTTTTCTAATTCTTTTTATAAAGGATTTTCGGACGTTAAAAAAATATTATTCTATCTCCTTATAAGATTAGCTGCATTTTGAATGTATCTCCAAAGTTCGTCTCGTGTATTAATTTCATTGGCATAAACTAAGGACTTCATATGTCCCCAAAAATAAAAATCTAGCGGGTTGTACTCAGGACTTCTTGGTGGCCATTGAAAATCACTGCCTCAATCCATCGTTGAGGAAATACGTCATTAAGATGATTTCTAACAGCTAATGAAAAATGAGGTGGCACTCCATCCTGAATAAACCACATTTTTCTTCTTTCATCCAGTGACAGATCATCTAAAATATCACTAAGAGTATTTTCGAAAAAGAATAAATAAGAATATCCATTTAAATTCGGAGGAAGAACATAAGGCCCTAGTAGTTGGTCGCCTATAATGCGACCAAATATTCAATTTAAACTCATGCTGAAAATGTCTAGCTTTAATAGCATACGGGTTTTCTTCTTCCCAATAATGACTATTTCGCCAATTAAAAACCCTTCGTCTGGTAAAAGTTGCTTCGTCGGTGAACATAATATTCTTAATAAATTGTCTGTCATTGCGATGTTTATTCAGAATATGTTGGCAAAACTGTAACCGTCGTGGAAGATCTGTTGGAAGTAAATTTTGAACAGGAGTGAAGTGATAAGGATAGAGGTTTTCTTTTTTTAGAATTCTAACAATAGACGACTGACTTACTCCTGTTGATGCTGATAGATATCGTAAACTTATTACAGGATTTTTATCTACTCGAACCAAAAGTTCATCTTCTTGATTAGGTGTGATTTGTTTCGGTCGACCACCCCGATTTTTAGTGTGAAATGACCCAGTTTCATCTAAACTACGATACAATCTTGCAAAAGTTTTGTAATTTGGTTGCCTTCTATTTGCGTATAACATTCCATACCTTCTGGCTGCCGAGTGACCGCAAAAATTTTCTTGTGCGTTTACGAAAATCATATCTCGCATTTCTTCATTAGTAAACTGATTGTGACGAGGCATTTCAATAAAAAAACTAATGATTACTTTTAAAAAATGCAACATTACACTACACTGTCACATCAAAAATAATTTACTCTGAACAAATAACATTTACCAACAACAATTATCTGACAGTCCAAAGCATACTTTTCATAAATGAAATAATATTTATAATCCTTTTTTAAGACTCTAAGCAGTTTGGTAAGTATTGGGTATATTTGGCCCAATAGCCATATTTTGGTTCAAATAACCTGTCCTTAGTCTATGTCTAAATAGTTATGACTCACCCTGTATAGTAAAATGATAATTCTATTCGATCAGGTGCAAAAAAACTGCACATTATCAGTCAAGTATGTATGTAAAAACAAAGTTTTTTGACACACTGGTTACAAAACATATTCAATTTTAAAATAATCCTGTTGATGTATACATCATAAAATTGGTCTATAATATATCCGTTAGGTATTTTCTTGCCGGAAAGAGAGAAGTGTAACCATCCAACCGACAAAATGTTACCTTACTGTCTGAATAATCTTGAAAAATTCTGATATGTATGAAGCGTCCTTGATATTTTGTATGCAAAGCTTCCATCATCACATACGTACATCCTTTTGGGCCTTAGGGGTCGTAAATAGGCTTTTCTTCGTCTTGTTTTCTACATATTATTTAAGGTTGAAAATGCTAATATTTTTTTTATATTTGAAACTGTGATATTTTATAGTGTAAAATGTTTTAAAACTATGGTATTGGATTATTCTCATAGTTTGTATTAGGATTCTCCATTATGATTTAGATATTTTTTATTATTTTCGATGTGAATATAACTTTTTCTGTGCCTCTTAACATTTATTATTTAAATTTTTGTGATTCTCCCCATATTTCGGTTTGGTTTGTCTTCGTAATTCTATGTTCAAACAAGTTATATTATTGTTTACCGTCTCCGCAATTATTAACTGCATTCACAAATATCTTTTTTTTCAAACGTCACAAATAAATTTTGTGACGTGATTAATACTTCTTTACATATCCATCACAGTTTGCATCACAAATATTTCGTCATTTTTGTTGTACTTCCTGATTTGTCTGAAC